ATTCCTGCTTGGTAAACCTATCTGGATTTTGCTTTGGTATGTGTTGATTAGCTATGTAGCTACAAAATGACAGAGTGCTAATGAAGTAAAGATTAAACAGAAGAGCAAATAAGGCAGGAACATGGAAAGAATGGGAGAAAGAAGACAAGAATAGGAAGGAGTAAAATCTTTGCTCTGGTCCACAAGGGACTGATGAAAGGTTAGATAAAATTGTTTCAAAATTTGTCTGAGTCTTGTCTCCAAAACATTACTAACATTTCATTATTTTATAGCAGTGATAAACTTTTAATCCCTTAAGTTTTCTATTCTTCAAGTCTGTTTGGTATTCAGTATTCCTAACGTATCAGTGAAATTAAAGGTTTTCATGCCATTTCCAGTGAGGCTTCCCTTCCTTTGAAGGGTTAGTTGAACAAACAGTTGCAAGTAATAATGGTTTAGAACAGGACCATCAAATTCACTGTCCTTGGGCTTCGACCAAGGTGCTGGTTTCCCCCCATTGCTCAGGTGGCTGTGGCTAGTGCCTTTAGAGTCTCCAGTTAACCCTACCCACTCCCTCCTCTCACTTCTGGAGAGGTGCACAGCAAGGGACTTGCATGCTGTTGGCCCCGACCACTCCTAAGTTGGACAGCCGTGTTTTAAAGGAAGAGTAAAAGAAAGATACTTGATGAATCACTTGGCACCTGCCAGTGCCGTTACCAGTAGTCATAGATCTAGGGATATGACTTCAGTCTCAGGATATCTGAGTGTTGTGTTTAATAGCCCCTGATGGACTTACCTTCTATAAATTTGACTAGTTGTTCTTTGAATCTGGTTATACTATAGACCTCCAAATCATTGTGTGGCACTGAATTCTACAAGTTAATTATGCAAATGCAATATTGCCACTGGTGCTATATTGACTATTTTGTCTCGTCTTGTGTTATGCATTTGTTTAGAGCTATTACTGCTATGCTTATAGGTAATAATTGAAGCCATATGAATGAAAATTCTGTATTCATACGTGCTTTACTGTGGATGGCCCTCTCCCTAACAATATTCCAATATAACGATGGCCTTATCAGAAATTCATAGTTTCTTAGCTTGTTTTCTGTAGAAAGCCACAGAAGAGGAACCCTTCTACACAGCAGCAGAAAAGGCATGCCATTGAATAGTGCTGTTTAATAGTCTTGTTTAGCTTTTACCTTAATCGTAACTATTTAAAGACGGATTGAGACAATCTATAAAACTTGTGGCTCTTGGAAATGAGAGTAAAATTGATTAGTGTAGCCTATCAAACTTTATAAGGTACTGAGTATGCATTTGTACAATCTTCTCTATTATGTTTTAAAGTAAACACATGTGATGTGATGTATTTTTTTTTTTCCTTCATAGAGAGTTTTGGACTCTGAAGAACAAGTACTGGTTATGTATCATAGATACTGGGAAGAATATAGTCAAGGAGCAGACTACATGGACTGTTTATACAGGTAAACTTTGCTTATAGCTCTTAAAAGGTGCATAGAACTCGCTATAATTAACAATGTAGTAATTGGAACACAGTTGACTGAAGGATGTTATTAAAGTTGAAATATTTCATGGAATTGTGGAGTCTTTCACCATTGGTTGGAATATGGCTCAGGTTAATGGCAAGTGTCACCATCCCATAATGAAATGGTTTGTGTCTTGATTTAGGCGGTGGTTCCCAAAGTATGGGCCTTTAATATGTTAAGAGCAGTTGCTAGTGATCTGCCTAAAGCTTTTTAGCCAAGTCTTGATATACTTACATACTCTTCTCTGTGACCTTCCATTAAGGATGGGGAGCCATCTATGTATTTCACTAATGACATTCTTTGCATGTGAGAACTGTATGGGTGGCTGGGTTTTGGGTTTGTTTGGGTTTTTTTTTCCTAATCTGTGTTTATGAACTCTCCATTTTTTCTGAGTCTGGCGCATATACTCTCCAGTGTATGCAAGATCAGATTTGTTGAATATTAGTGTCCCTTCCCATAACCAAGACCGTGGTAGTGGCCTCAGTTGCCCATGGGTTTGCTGATATCATCTCCTAGCTAGTCTCTAAGGTGTTACCTGCCCTCCGCCTGACTTCAGACTAACATGGCTAAACCCCTGTTTGTGGTTTTACTGGATGAATGTAGTGTCTTCAGGATTTTATTCAAGAGGATACTGAATGCCCTTGACAGCCCACTTGAAGCATACAAGATAAACACAAAGTCATGGATGCTTCTTGTACAGCAAAACCTGGAAGACTAGAAATGCTTGCTAAGGAGACACACTATGCAAACCTTTCAGAACATTTTGGCATACACCAAAAGCATTTTTATTGCCTGTGAGAGAGCTGAGAGGAGGTAGCAAATTCCAGCAAGGGGGTTTGGATATCTTTATCGGTATCGAATTCCTGGATTTCTGGTTGAGCAAAGTATTCAGGAAAGATTGTAGCAGCAGGGTCATTTAAGAACACTTTTGGAGAGTGACTCAAAGAAGTTAGACCTTCCTGGTCAAAAATTCTTCTGACCACCAAGTACTGATGTGTGAGTAGCCAGTTATCAAGGACTATTCCCAAAATATAATTAGGATAAAGGTTTCTAATGTGGCAGATTAAACTATCAAGAGAATATCAGGAAGTTGAGGTCTCTGGGTTAGGGCTCATTTTAAGTAGCAGTGGGCTTGGTAGCAAGGACTAGATCTACTCCCATTGTAGTGAGAAAATATTCCTGGCTCCAGCTACCTTTCCAAATACCATGCTATCCTGAAGAGAAATGAAAGCGAGAGGCAGCACCCTTTCTACAAAGGCCCCAAACTGCTTAATAGCAAAACCTTCAACATCCCTGAAGATGAATCTGACTGGACTGTCTCTGGAAAGTAAAGGAAGGGGTTTGACAAATCATTCTTTATTATTTTCTGTAAGTCTGAATTAGAATAACTATGAAACAGTTATAAACCAGGACCTTTTTTTCCTTCTTCTAATATCTGGGTATTTAGAAATAAGCATTCTGCAAGCTTACTACATACATTTCTTACTGGCTTCAGTGCAACTTCTACAGGTAGAAGATTTCAGAATAGAGCCCATAAAATAAATTTGAGTTTGTGCAAAATGCAACACAGGTTAACTTAGTAAATTAACATGTTAAATACTGTAAGCTTTAGTCAATGTGTTTTTCTGTAATGCTATTGAAATATACTTGGAATAATTCTAAAATGATGTTCAAACTTGCTGAATAAAATATGTGAAGAGAGAGTCATCAATCTGCAGAATTTGTTCTGCAATATGGAAGAATTGCAGCTATTTTCCCCCAATGTTAACTTGTATAGATACAAGTGTATGTAATCTACTTTTATTTGCCTGCCTTTTTACAGTACATTCAAAATATATCTAGAGTACATGTTTATTTCTCTTCCATGATTTAAAAATTAAGTAGATAAGGTTATTTGTCTAAACGAAAGGTTCTGAGGTATCCAAAAAAGATATTGGATTAACCCAAAGAACCTTGTCTGCCTATGTCCTTAGACCAACATGGCTACAACCTACACCCTTGTAAAAATAAAGTAGAAAACTTAAACAATATATTAATCTTAGATTAAACTTAAACTTTTTACTGTCCCTTTCAAACATTCTTTTTCAGATAAGTTATTTGAAAACTGTAAACTTCTGTTTTTACTCACAGTTTGTTTTCTGTCAGTTGTAATTTTTATATAGAGGATTTCTCTATATTTTACATATGGCAGAAAAGCAGGTTTTAAGAGTGATCCATTTTAGCTGGTTATTCTAGAGTCAGATTACATAGAAGTTCTGTCCCAGAGAGATCTTTGCTGAAAAGGTAAAGTTGACAATAAGAAATACAGATCTTGAATAAATCTCTCAGCTGAAGCCGATAATTACAATTCTGCCAGTATAAACAAAGAACAATGTTGAACACTTTTCATAGGTGGTGAAAGGCTGGGGCTAACGGGGCTTAGTCCCCTCAAACACAGGCAGCCCAGGAGCAGGCTCTAGGCAGCTGCAGTGGGGGAAAGGGTGTACACAGACAGATAAACAGCTGGAGCCTGCAGGCAGCCAGGAACTCATCCCAGCCCAGCCCTGCCGTGTGGAGCAGTGCCCAGCAAGTAAATGTGTGGACAGGAAAGGGCATGGGGAGGGGCAGATTGAGGCCCCTGCAGGGGGTGGTGAACGGGGTCCTGAGGTGGGTCATGGGATGTTTGCTGCCTGGGCAGCTGGTCCAGAGATGCAGAGGGGCTCCCGCTGCTGCCTGCACCCCTGGGGCAGGCACAGGGGATATGTGCCCCCCTATCTGTGCATGGGGTGGAGGTGGGCTGCTGCTGCTGCGGGCTGTGCTCCACACCCTACTCCTAGTACCCCAGCAGCTGCACAGTGCCACGTGCCTCCCACCACTAGGCAGGCAGACGCAGCCAGCGCACAGGAGCCACATGGCATTGTGCTGCTACCGGGGCACTAGCAGCAGGGTGCAGACCCCAGCCTGCCTCCACCCTATTTGCAGACCCAGGGGACGCGTGCCCCCTGTGCCTGCCCCAGGGGAGTGCGCAGTGGCAAGAGCCTCCTTGCACCCCTGGATAAACCTCCTGGGTTCCAACTGTCCCACACCCTGCCCCTGCCTCTCTTTGCCCCACTCCCTCCTTCACTCTGGGGCCTCGAACTCCACACTCTGCCACTTGTTTCCCACACCCCCATCTGCTGCTTCCCCCCTGACAAACCACTTCTCCCTCTCTCTTCTTAGCTTTGCTCTGCTCTGGCAGCTCCATCTCTGCTGCAGCCTGGGACCCAAAGCATGGTTCCTGCCCCACTCTATAGTAGAGGTGCAGAGCTGGTACTGTTGTTCCAGCCCGTAGCAGCAGTGGGAACCTGAGGCTGCAGGTGGCAGAAGCAGCTTGGAGAAGAGTGGGGAAGCAGGGGAAGGGGGATTTGGGGCAACCTGAGGCGGTGGGGGAGGACAGGCACAATGTGGGATAAGTGGGGGAGGGGCAGACAGCCAGGGGCAAGCTGCCTGCCTCTCACTGCCTGCCCCACTGCCTCCATACCACCTGCTCCCTGCCTTCCCTGATGCAAGACTGCCCCCTCATCACCTCTTTCTCCCACCCCTTCCCCCCCCCCCTCCCAGGTTGTGTACAGTGGTGGGAGCCCCCCTTTTCCCCCCCCCCCCCCCCCCCCCCCCAACAGTGGGGGTGGGGGCAAATTTTAAGATGATCCTCTAACAATTAGATTCTGTGCATGGAAAATTATAATAAATTTATAAATTTTCTGTGTGCAGAATCTAATTATGGGGGGTCATCTTACCTTCAGGATCATCTTGTATTTGGGTAAATATGGTAAATCTTCGTTGTTGCTGTTTAAGTCCATTGCTGCTTGTTCTGTCCCCTGTGGACATAGAAAACAATTGATTTACATCCTCTTTAAGATAGATTTTTTTAAAATCAAATTCCTCCTTTGTCTTCTCTTCTACAAACTAAATAATCCTAGTTCTTCCAATTTTTCTTGAATGCCCTTTATTTTTTTTCCCCTTTGACTACTTTATTCATGTATTTCTTCCTCCAGCCTTTCCAATTTGTCTTTATATGTCTTCAAGCGTGGAAAAGTTAAAAAAATTGAAGGTATTTTTCTAAGAATTTTTTTTCTTAAAACATAGGTTTTTCCGGTATTTGTGTAACTGTAAGGGGAGAGGTTGGTAAATAGAATGCCTTGGCTTGATTTGTAATTTGCTGTTCTTACAGCTTAAAGGCTAGAATGGAGAGCTTGTGATATTATTTTTTTTTTCTTTTAAGAAGGGAAAGCAAAATGCATAGTGTTGAATTCCTTATAATAATGCTGTTACCTCAAATAAAACAGGTATTGCTTGTTTTCTTCATGAAAGTTTGAATACATTTAAGCTATCAGTTTTCAAATTCCTCACTACTAGATCATTCTATGAAAACAAACGTTCAACTCTCCCGTATGGTTTGTTTTTGTATATAATAATATGCGTTAAAACAAAAGTAGAATATTAAATTTAAATTGCTTACAATTTTAAAAGCTAGCTCCTTTATACATTTTGTAAAGGTGATTTTTTTTTTTTTCTGTCCACACAGTGGTGTAATTTTTTTATCCACATGCTAATGGAAAACCAGCTAGAAATTTAAAACTCTGATACCACGGTGGTAGTCCCTCTACCTTGGCGTTAGCAGCATTTTTTCCAGTGATGGACTTGAATGATATCACTCAGGCCAAAGCCTGACCAGTGCTAAGACCTGGCTACTACCTGGCTGCAGTGCAGCACGGATGAAGCCCCTTGCAGCTGAAACCCTTCCGACTCCATGGAGCTGTATCCCACCCGCAGGCCATAGATTGATTGAACCTCGCTCTAGCTGTTTCTATTCTGAACTCCTGGTTCCCCTGTTCAGTTTTCTCTTCCTCCCTTGATAATCCCATGGTTTCCATTCTCCCTCTTACCTCACTGTTGGGAAGGTACCAACATCATCATGCTTGTTAAGCTGTATGAGAGCAGTTATTGAGAGTGGAGGAAAAGAGAGTCTCCTTGTCTGCTTCCAAAATTAGCTTATTATATTTGTGCACAAGACTTGTTCTTCATCTTGCTCTTCATACAACAATTGTATTGGGCAGTTTAGATTAAAATATATGTAGATATACATCTTAAAAGAGCATACACCGTTGAAAGTGGAAAAAATGTCATTTTTAAATCAAATGTGAATTTAAGGTGATAATTCTCTTCTGTAAAACACTCCTACCTCTTGATGTTCTTAACATTTTGGAAGAATGAAGCCTTGTGAAGTATCTATAGAAATAATCTAATTGTAACTGATTTTTTTCCCCAAGGTTTTTTTGTGTGCATTTTGTGATTCTGATAACGTATCTTAACTATCCTCTCTTCTTGGCGTTCTCTGAATAAAAAAAACCCAAACCCTTTGCATTCTTTTGCAGAACAGGGACTTTTCTATATTCCCTTAAAAAACATAAATATATTAAAAAGCTTTTGTTTTCTTGTGCTAAAATTCACATCTGTACTAAAGTGCGATCTTAAATGAGGGTGTGTATGTGTATTTGACAGTCTTAGGGTTATAACTTATACCTCCCAAATGTTTTAACAAAGCATACATCACAATAACTAATCCATATACATATTTCTAAGTAAATAATAGAAAATAATACAGAAACGTAACACATAGTGGTCATTTTACACCTACATTCCAGACTATCTGTAAAATACTTGGAAATTGTATACCTAAGGAAGGGTCATCTTCTGACACTTCTGGTACTTACCATTACTTATCAGAAAGCACAGATTTCCTAAGAATGTATTTGATTGGCTTGATCCTTTCATGGAAGGAATCCAAATGATAAACAGTCACTAAGTATCTCTTAATTCTCATGCAGCAACCCACAACTCAGTCTGATTTTTTTACAATTTGATCTGATTCTGTTAGGTCTACCTCTGCAGGCTTCTTCAGTGGTATACACAAGTGATATAATTCTCCATGTGCTTTGTACTGTTACACAGTGCATGATTTTATCAAATAAAGTGTGAGAGAACAACATTAATATTGTTCAATTCTGCAAATGTAGTACATAATTTGGGCAGATTTTTTTCAGCATGGAACCAAAACTTGGGTAACATAAGACATTTATAGACTAGTTTTGAAAAATTAAGAGTTAACCATAAAAACAAAAAATAATTTGTGGTTAAAGTAGGGAAACTGGTAAGCCTACCACTAGTGCTGAGCTGAGTTTGGAACTAAGCAAAAAAAGGTCCTAGAGAGGAGTCAAAGCCTCAAATATGCTATCAGCCTCCAAGGAATAATCGGCTATGGCAGAGGGTTGTTCAAAGAGTGAATCCAAAGAAGAGGAAATGCCTTGTAGATCTTATCACAAAGCCAGGAATGTAATTTCATCCCTTGGCACAGCTTCTTGATTAACCTACAAGTTGTCAGCTTCGTTTACCCAACACTGCAAAAGATGATGGGGATCACTTATTGCATTAAGTACAAAAGCAAAGGTCCCAATTTGATTTTTAAAACATTAAATCAGTGTTATGAAACTCATTCAGCTCTGTGGGTTGATGAGGGACAGAGGACCAAATCAGGCCCCCAGACCAGCCAGCATGCACCCCATACTGGACTTGTGTGCAGTGCACATGCTGGTTCTAGCCATGTGTCACATGAAGCACATGCCACACATGGTGGGCAGGGCCCATCTGGCATATGTACTGCATGTGGTTCACAGGGCTCATCTGGCCCAGCCCTAGATACAGCATGCCCAAGTACAGATGCCACCCACTGTGTGCTGCATGAGCTCTCCAGGCTGGACCTAGAGGCAGCAGTGGGCCAGATAATAGGGCTCCGTGGGCTGCCCCCAGCCCATAGAGCCCAATCTTTGACAGCCCTGCACTAAATGATGATAAATGTAGTCATTGGGTGTTGGTCTCTGTGGTTAACTAACATTGCCATTAAAAAAATCCATCATCTCATTTCTAGTTTGGTTTTACCAGACTCAATTTTTTATTTTTTTTTTTGGATTCTAGTTTTTTAGTTTGCCTGGTATGTAGGGGCCCTGTACTATGCACTGTCTTTTCCCTATGTAAATACTTACAGACAAAGCTTCCTCTTTCGATAAGCTAAATAGACAGAGCTCTATTAATATATCTCACATTAAGGTTATCTTTTGGACCTTGAATCATTCCTGTAGCTCTTTCCTAAATCCTACTGATTTCTTTTTTTTATTTCATCACATTCCTTTTTAAATGTGGATGTTAGACCTAGGTGTACTATGTCAGTAGCTCTCTTGCTAATACAGTGCAAAGAAGGTAAATATTTTTTCTCTTTTCATATGAGCTTCCCCTGTCCAAGTATTCCAGGGTTGTGTTCCATATTCCTCCACCACCACATTCTGTCAGGCAGCTGGTTCAGTTGGGCATCTGGGAATTCTAAATTCTCATGAATATTGTGAATTTCTAGATTACAATTTCTCCTTTCTCTATTTTTGTATTTGACAAACATGGGTTTTTCTAGGGTTGTGGGAAACGCCTGCGTTTTCTTTAGTTTTGGATTCGGCGTTTCAACGGGACAGCAATTTGTTTCAGCGTTTCTTTTAGATTCATAGATTGTAAGGGGCTAGAAGGGATCTTGCAGATCATCGGGTCCAGTCCCCGTGTCGTGTGTGTTGTCCCCCCTCCCCCCTGGGCAAGTCTATCTCAAGTCTGCTGTTTATACCGTTAGTTACAATGTTGCTTGAATAAGACATCTGGTAGAATGGTAATCAAAATTTTCAGATGTGATTGGTATTGGGATGCCCAATCTAAGACACCTTAAAGGGGTTTGATTTTTTTTATTTTTATTTTTTTTGAAGTGTAACCCCTTTAAGGTGTCTTAGATTGAGCATCCCAATACTAAGTTCACATAACATTTCTTTATACAGTAATGTATTAAGCTAGTGAATTGTGTTGTACTCATGGGTCCCTAGATTTTAATTTATTTCATTCAGTTGGAGATGCAGATTTGGTACACTAAAAGAATTTGTCAAAATTTTATTTTTCAGTATACAGCACCTGGTGAAGTGAACCTGGGTTCACGAAAGCATGTGTGTTAAGCCACATCTACAAGTTACACTTAGGGCATGATTAAGCAGTTAATCATAGTTTAAGTGTTCACCTGACCACTAATTCAATCAAATAATGGCATGATAAAAAGAGGAATATGCTGCAGTTATTCCACAAAATATAAGTAATGACTTAGTAGCTGCTTCCTATCATGCCATTAATTGAATGTGTGGCTGGGAGCCCTGTCAGCTGATCAGAGCTCCCAGTTGGGGGAGCCTGTGTGCACCCCTGAGCCTGGGACCTCCCAGCTGAGAGAGCTCTAAGCTGCAGGGGGCCCCATGCACCCCAGTGGCTGGGACTGCACCTCCTGCGATCTCCCAGCTCTCAGTGTTCCCTATGCAGCTCGTGGCTGTGGGAGACCATAGCTGCAGTGATTTCCTAACCACACGGGAGTGCCCCATGCACCCCATGGCTAGGAGAATCAGGTGCATGGTGTGCCCCTGCAGCTGGTGCAGTCACTCAGCTGTGGGGGTGCACTATACATCCTTTCATGTTAATCCACACCTTGAAGTTATATATAGTGTAAAAGCTGAAAATCACAGCAGTTCCTGTTGTAATATCCTTTGGGAAAAGGTCAGATCCAGTTAAGAATGAGAGACTATGTTATATGTAGGGATGCAAGATAAAACTGATTAAAATAGTACATCATGCCATTGTTTTATATTGTTTTCATAGAGAAGTATGACTAGAAGGGAACTGTTTATTGAAAGTATTACTGTCTAGCAGCTAATGAACTAAGCATAGAAGGCAAGCTTATTCTCAGATGTGTTGCAAGAATTCCCTATGGATGCTAATTTCACTACCAAAATCGTTATAATCTTTCTCTCCTTCAATTAAGCTAAAGACATTGTGATTCCAGAATTCTTTTAAATATTTAACATTTCACTCCTCCTTTTTATATTCTACTGTTTGTATTTCTCTAGGTATCTCAACACACAGTTTATTAAGAAGAACAAATTGACTGAAGCTGATCTTCAGTATGGCTATGGAGGTGTGGATATGAATGAACCACTGATGGAAATAGGAGAGGTAGGTCCTTCCTGTAGTAGAGAGAATTATTATGTACAAATAATTCTTAAATGTCATCTTTGCTGCTTGAAATGTTGATGTGTAGAAGAAAAGGTATCTGAGTAGTCTAAAACTAATCTAATTTTTAGTGGAAGTTGCAGGCACTGGACACCTTTGAAAAATCAGGCCAAATTTGCTTAAAACTGACAGCTCCTTATCTGTGAAGCAAAATTAAATGAAGTAGGACCTGTACATGGGAGGAAAAAACCCTGCAGATTTGAAACAGGCATTCAGATTTTTTGTTGAAAGTCTTCCATCAGAAGATGGTAACTGACAAAACCCAAAGTTGTCTTTTGCAAAATCATCTCTTTTGGGACAAAAATAATCTGAAAAGAGAAATATTTAGTTTTGGAAAACTTTGAAATGTTGATATTATACTTTAATATTCTTTGACATGTGTGCCCTTGTTGTGAAGAAGGCCAACGACATACTGGGTTGTATTAGTAAGAGCGTTGCCAGCAGATCGAGGGAAGTGATTATTCCCCTCTGTTTGGCACTGGTGAGGCCAAATCTGGAGTACTGTGTCCTGTTTTTGGTCCCCCACTACAAAAAGGAGGTAGACAAATTAGAGAGAGTCCAGTGGAGGGCAGCAAAAATAGTGAGGGGGCTGGGGCACATGACTTACGAGGAGAGGCTGAGAGATGTGGATTTATTTAGTGTAGAGAAGCAAGACTGAGGGAGGATTTAGTAGGAGCTTTCAGGTACCTGAAGGGTGGTTCCAAAGAGCATGGAATAGACTTCTTAGTGTTGGCAGATGAAAGAACTGGGGGTGCACTGATAGATTTTCTGGGGCTGATACCGATAGCCAAGATTTAAGGAGGCATATTGGCCGATACCAATCTGATTTCTGATACAGCTGCCTCCAGCTGTTAAGTCCAGTGTGGTGGAAGGGGAGGGGTGAAGGGAAGGGAAGGGGCATGGGGTGGCAGATCAACACCCCCTTGTAATGAGGAAGGGAGCAGGGGCAGGCACTACCCAGGTGGGGCGGGTGGGGAGGGCTGGAGCTGCGGTTTGTGGGGGCAGGGGGATAGCTCCCACTGCTGCTTGCACCCTGGGAGAGCACAGGAGGGGGGCACGTGTCCCCCAGATCTGCGCGGGGTGGGGCAGGCTGCAGCCGGGGCTGCACGGAGCTCTTTTTGGCAGGGACTGGGCTCAGAGTGGGTGCCAGCGGTGCTGGGAGGATGCTGTATCCACCTCAGATTTCACCGCCGCTGTGCTCCCAGTGCTGCCGTTGCTAGCTGTCCGGTGCAGTCCCGGCTCTTCCCAGCACGTGGGTTGAGGCGGGGCATTGAGCCAGGGCTGTGCCAGCCGACATGTTATCATTCCTGATTTATATATAAAACTTCAAAATGAAAGTTTTGTTTGGAAATGAAGTCTTCCAAAACCCATTTTGAGGAAATGTCCATCATGCAGATTTTACACAAACCTTTTTCCTTTTGAACCAGAAGTAAAACAAATTTCAAAATGTAAAAATTCCATTAAATGGGAATTCTGCATTTCTACCAGCTATATTGAAATTATATAAGATATTGTTCACATGTTGGTTCTAAGCTTTGTCAAAAGAATTTAAAATGAAAATAGATATTTGAGAGTGGGGTGTGTAATTATTTGCATTTACATCCCATCCAATTCTAACACTAGTCTTGGAGTTTTTAACTGTATGTACTGTGCCTGCTAAGTTTTTATTGTGGTATTTTTTTCCTAACAGCTAGCACTTGATATGTGGAGGAAATTAATGATTGAGCCGCTACAGGCCATCCTCATTCGAATGCTCCTCCGAGAAATCAAAAAGTGAGTGCTTGATTGTTTTCCATTTAGTTACACAGCTTCCTACCCTGGGGCAGCCTTTGGCAGTTGTTTGACTAGGGTGGCCTGGGAATTTACTGGGCTTCAACTAAACTGTTTCTTATTTGAGTGGCAGGTAATTCTGAATGTGTTGATATTACCTCATTACTTATTTAAATGCTCCAGCTATTTAAAATATAGACTTTTCTGTTGGACTTCACTAGCGCAGAAGCAGATCCTGAAATGGAAAAAAAATTATTCACTTCAATCCAGGGGGAGTTGTGTCTGGAATCTTAACCAAGAGACCTGTTTTGTTCCCATTTTTTTTGCTCTACCTGGACTGTCCAACTTTGGCATGGATAGGAGCCACATGTGGTGCCTAGGTATGGCTGTGTGCTGTAGTGGTGGCCCTACTGGGATCTCCCTCACTGCATGGGCTGGGCCAGCTTTACAAAGCCCCTGCTACATGGATTGTATTTGCAGCATGTGGCCCCCTTGCTGGGCAGGCTGAAAACCAGGTGCTCTCTTCCCTGCTACTGGCTTCCTAGTGTGTGGGCAGCAGTTTCCCCCCACAATGCAGACTGTGCCAGGGCCACATAGACCCCCTGGGCCCTTCCCCACCACACAGCAGTGAAGAGAAAGCTGCTATGGCCTTCAGGCTTCACATTACTGCTTGCAGGCTACTAGTCAGACAGCCCTGGCCCCCAGACCACGTACTGGTCCCTCACACGCTATCATTTGGACAGGCCTGCGCCAGACTAACCCAAATATTTTTGTTCCCTATTTTACACATCTCTTAAATGGTGATTTTTACCTTCTCTACTTGAGGGGGACGGTTTGAAGGTTGACATGTTGGTTGTGCTCAGAAAAAGCATTGCTAATTGCAAAATAGATATAATATTGATATTATTAACAATACATTCTTTTTCTTCACCTGGATTTTGTGAAGATGAATACTGATATTACATCCATTTACTGCAAAGAAGGACCTTGGGGTTACAATGGAGCATAAGTTGAATATGAGGCAACAGCATGTTCTTGTTGCAGAATTAAAAAAAAAAAAAAAAAAAGGCACCAGTGTGATGCATTAATAGGATTGTCACTTGCAAATCATACAAAACGATTATTTCACTCAGTGCTGAACAGAGTACAGACCTGGAGTACTGTGTCCAGTTTTGGGTCCCGCACTTCAAAGAAGATATGAACAGATAAGGAGGAGTCCAGTGGAGTACTGCAAAAATGATTAGTGGCCTAGGAAACATGACTTAGGAGGACAGTCTGTAAGACCCTGGCTTATTTGTCTGGAGAAGAGAAGAGTAAGGGAGGATTTGATAAGCCTTCAAATAACTGAAGGGTGATTATAGGGCAGATGGAGATAGACTATAACAGTGGACTCAAACTGCAGCAGAGGTGAGATTTGAGATTAGGAAGAACTTTCTGACTATGAACATGATTAAGCATTGAAACAGGCTACGCAGAGGGGTTGTGAAATCTCCATCCCTGAAAATATTCAAGACCAAGTTAGGAAGACACTTCACTAGGGTGGTTTATTCAGGATTGATCCTGCCTTGAGCTGAACTAGATGACATTGTGAGATTCCTTTCAGTCCTAATTTCCTATGATCCAGCCCTGTGATCCTTTTGTAACATTACATTTAAAGACTGTCATGTATTTCATAATTTTTGGATCTTCTGAGAACTCTCTCTTTGTTGCCAGCACGGACGGAAAAGACAACACTTATAATGGCTGTGGAAATCATCTTCCTTCACTCTGAAAATGAGCTGATTATGGGGCTCACCATTGCTTACTGAAACTAAGAAATGTCATGTCTCCAGTGGGCTTTGGATCTTAGCTTTTAAGGGAACGGTGCAGAATATTTTTTACAAAAAACTATGGAAGTGTAGTAAACTCAGAGCAGTGTCAGGACTCAGAGCAGTGTAAATTAGTGTCTAGGTCCATTTTTCTGTTCCTGTTCTACCGCAGGCTCTCCAGTATGACTTGAACAAGTTACTTCACCTCTTTTCTTTTAGTTTCTCATCTGCAACATGGGGATAATGACTTTTCCTTCTAAAGTATGATATGCACAGGATGTAATGCACTACAAAGTAGCTACCTTACCCTGATTATTACTTTTGAATATTTTACAGTACAGGAGATGTCATCAATAAACATAATTGTGTTTGCAGAACTGACATTATCGTGGTATTTGTGTTATCTCCTATAATTACTGTGGGGAATGTTGGCACTGGGGATTTATGATCCATATATCATGTTCTAGGTGGACCCAAACCCTCAGAGCAACCATGACTTCTCCATTTGATAATAGGCAAATTTTATTGCTGCACAGTGATAGCAGATAAGAATAATGTTGGCAAGGCAAACAAAATAACCCACCCCTATTCTATATCTACTAGTCCTAGGGTTGTCACGGAGGGAACGTATGTCTTGTCATTATGTGAGCTTCACCCTTAGTTGCTTTTTTGAATGTCAGAAACCTGGAGGTTAAGGGCTGAGCCAAGCCGCGCCCCCCGCTGAGACAGGCTAGTGGTGTGTCTTCCATCCATGGTGGTCTTGGGGTCCCCTTTCAAGGACCCTTTGCTGAAATCTTTCCCTTTGTATTCTTTCTCTCCTCTGACTCTTCATTCTTGGGCATTGTTGATTGGTTTCCCTGTGGTAGTCATACTGTCCACGTTCTGTCCAGTCAGCGTGTTCCTTTGTTTCCCAAACCCATCACATGTACACATCTCAATTTGGTTATTTACCAGTCTCCTAATTTGGTCTGTTCACCAAAACTGGAAATCCTAGGGACTAGCAATTGAGCATGTGACTTAATACCACCTTATCTCATATTATGGAACAGTGTGGTACATGTCTTCAGTTTCCTAGCCTGTGTGTCTGCTGGCTTCAGATACAGTGGACCTTGAAGGAAACTTGGTCACACAAGGCTTTTAGAAAACAATTAACCCTTGCTGTTTCCCTGGACCATTGTTCTAATGCATATCTACTTTACTTACAAGTTAATTCCCAAAAGCAAATGTCTAAATACCATTTTGTAGCCATCAATCCCTTCCTTGAAGGTCTTACACCTTCACATCATAAATGGAGCATAATCAAGGGAATTTCCTGGAATGGTTAATGAGGTTGTGGAGTGGACCTCCACGTGTCATCCCATGAGCCAATCCAATTTAAACAGGCCTCCCATACTGGGGCCAGGGAATGTACAGCCCAAGATGCCTGTTAAACCTTATGCTCAGCATTCCAGGCATCATTCCACTTAGTAGTCAGTGCCTTATCTGGCTGTCAAGATGGCTGTTTAAACCAGAGAAACATCCCATAGTCAGAATTTTTGGGGACCAGACACATTCCTGGCAATTTTTACCCCTCCTGTACAATGGGTAATGCTTTCCTTGTCATCCCAAATGGATGCTTGGTGCCATCATAGCACTGCCAGTGCCCCTCCGTCCTGCAAGAGCCTGTAGAAATGCCAAGGCTCAGGCCCTTCTTGTTTCCTTCAGGATGTCACGATTCTACTCCTTGTTCTAGATCTTTGCACAGATTCTGGGGATTAATTAAACTACAGTGCATTACTACTCCTACTATAAAAAGCTTAAAATAAATATCTAACACAAGCAAAGCAAAACAAGAAAAAAACCACACAAAGCAAAACCCCCCCACAAAAAACAAAAGAAAATAAACAAAAGAGTGATAATAAAAGCATCCTTCTTGATCTTTGACATGGATGAACTCTTTGAGGTCCTGGAAGTGCTGCTTCACATGATGCTGTTGCTGTTTCCTATAGCCACTCTGCAGATATTTCCAGCCTAATCGGTGTTCACTGTCACCCTTCATACATTCCATAGCCTATCACAGAGTTTTGCTATAAATTTCATTATTTAGCATAGTTAATATCACAGCCACTTATTACACAAACACAACCAAATAAGCACTACAATTACTATGCATAACACAGTTAAGCTCAGTTTTTCTCCATATCAGGTGAACTTCTTGATGCTTCAGCCATGGTCCACATCCTGCAAAACACAAAGACAAAAAAAAAAAAGGGGGAGGCGCTAAGCTGTGGCTGACTTTATTTACAATGGGCCCTGGCCCTTGCCATTTAGGCCTCCATCCTTTCCTTTTTGGGTATGGTATATCATCTTATCTTCTACTTTCCATGCTTGAGGATGCAGTACAGGTCTAACTTGTCCATCCATTTATCTGTTAACACTCTAGGCTGGAGCTCATCCAAAGATTCCCCTCCCAGCTCTTTGCAGAGGCTGCTTCTTCAGCAGTCCTTTCTTCTCAAAGTGACAGGTGCTCCAAGGTGTACTCTGCCACACATTTTCTCTTCTTGGTCTCCACCAAGGTTTTTTTTTGTCAGAGTATACTCCCCCTAGCCTTCTCCCATCAAAGGGTGACCCACGAGGCAGTGAGAGCTGGGGTTTTCAGGCACCCTATACATGCCTTTCCCTGGGGTGGGAACATGTGGCAATTTGTAGAGACTACTCTGCCACAGCTAGCTCAGCCCCAGGGAAAGGTGAGTATAGGGTGCCTGAAAACCCTGGGAGCTATCATATTATTTGCTTACAAACAGTAATTGTAAAGATTTTAGTGCCAACTGCTGTAGCCATTTTCTTAGCATTTGTACACTTATAGGAATATGACTAGTAAATTATCTCAAACAAATAAGTAGGGATCCTGGTTTTCTTTGATTAAAAAGTCGCATATTCTCTGATTTAAAAACCCCAAAATCCATTATTAAAATGAAAGACCCCTCACTCCCCCACACCCCAGCCCTGCTCATGCTGTCACTGCCCCCCCCCCCACAGCCCTGTTGGAGGAGGCCCCCAGCTGCCAGGGCTATGGGGCCAGGACCCCAGGTCCACAGCTCCATGCCCCCAACAGAAGACAGTGGCTGCTGCAGCAGCAGAAGAAGCACAGAGCTGGCTGCCCCACTGCTACTGCGGGCTTGGGTGGGAACAGAAGGAACCTGTGCCCCCCAGATC